ACACGATTGTGCTGAGCTAGACACATTGGGAGAAAACAGCCAGTTTCAAAAAAGATGTGAAGACAACCCAAGTGTTGTCACACTGCTCTGTGCTTGCATATCAGCACAGTAGCACAGTCCCAGGACACGATGTGACATGCATTTGAACCGGGGCTGCAAAGACACTTCTTCCTTTCACTTCTCCTGCATCCTCAGCACTTCACAGTCACTTCCATATTGTTCCCCACAGTGCTGCTCAAGAGCATCAGGATGATAAACAACACTTGTGTTCCTCATTGTCTTTCAGGCTAAATTTGGTTGCAGTGTCAAACAGTGACCAGAAAAAAAGAGAAGAGGGCAATTGGGTAGTAGGAATACAGAAATGCAGGCTCACATGATCAGAGCCTACCTGTTCACCAGGGTAGGATATCCACAATTAACAGATCCGGTCACTGCCATCTCTCCTATCTTCAAACCTTTAATCCATATAACAGAGATCATATTACTCTTTTGGCTCATGTTTTGCCCTTGCAAACTGTCCATGTAATAGAGCTTCCTAGTAAATTGTGAGGATTTAATGACTAAGAAGCTGAATTCAGAACTTGTGCTCAGTCAAAGAGGACTTTATTAGAATCTGGGAGTGAGAAATTCTCAGCAAGAATGCTGGGACTTAAGGTACTGGGAGTTTTACTCAAGATTTACTCAGAGTTGGTGTTCTGGGTTGGGCCACCAAAGAATTTTGAAATTGAAGCTAGGCAAAATATGGAAGTTTCAAAAAAATAAATGAATGGTGGCACAGGAAGATGGAAAGAGCAAATACAGTTTTGTGTAGGGTGAGTATATGAGGCAAGGTGTTGAAAATGCAATGTATGATGTGATGAAAACTGAGTAGGTTGAACCCTCAGGGATAGTTTATGTCTTGCACAAGTTCCCACAAATTACAACACCTTCCCAGCACATTGCGTGAGCTGTAGAACCTGACATTTTTTGCTGTGCAGACAAACTTGTACCCTCTGAGGCAGAAAGGTGATTGTAATCTGCAGGCAGGATACTTTTCAAGTGAGGAGAAGATTTGGAGAGAAAGCAGAATTCAGCATGATGTTGTTGTGAGGCTTAACATGTCTTCCAAGATGAAGGGTGGTTGGGGAGGGCACAGTGACATGAGTCAGGCAGCAGCATTGCAGGATTCTAGCACACATGTAATGAAAAGGCAAGAGACCACTGTTTAATAAGCACTTCCAGCCAGTGTCACACCTGTTTGGTATCCCAGCTGGGCAGCGTGTCAGGGAAGTTGCTGAGAAATACAGGGCTTAGGAAATCTGCTAGCTCAAAGCTGCTTCTGAAGAGACACAACACTGCTGCTGCTACATCCAACTGATTACTGCCAGAATGAACCCATTTCTGGAAACACAGCTGTATCCAGAAGAACTGAAGGTGGTGTCAGTAATTTAGTTATGTATTGAGGGGGATGCTGGTCTTTGTCTAGTCTCCTTAGATTTCACTCACTCATTTTCAGTGCTAAATTGTTCCAACACCCAAGGATGGAAAAAATCTGACACTGATCATATTTGATGAGAGAGTCCAGCCTATAAGAAATATTCTGAGAGTTCCTCTTTAGTGGGTGCCTTAAAAAATGAGCTGAGGAGAGTTTACCTGAATTTTAAGGAATGTGTAAATTTTTTTTCTTCATTTTATAGTTATGGCTCTTGGGATCTGAAATAGATGTGCAATCCCATTAAAAGATGCATCTGTTGAGCAAATGGTCTTCTTAGATGTGGACATGTAATGTACATAGATCGCTCATTTATTTTCTACCCTTTGAATCCAGATTATCACATTAAAAACTAGATACAAGTAGGAAAACTGACTACAGTTTAGATCCAAATTAGACAGACACACATTTTACCAAAGTTTCTTGATTAACATTAAAACCCAAACAAAATTAACAAAATTACAAAATTAATTGTTCAGATCTGAGTTTTGATTGTCACTATATGTAAAAATAAATGCCTACAAAGGCACTTACTGTACCATCCTTTGGGCATATTAAGTTAAAAAGTATTGCTTGATAATTCCTGTAAGCACATAGTTCCGTTCTAGACTGAGGGGCACAGGCAGTTGGGAATGGTTAATCATGGGAAAATGCCTTAATCAGCAGCATCACAAGTATCACCATGTCAGGCTGTGTCAAATGTGTCAGTGCAAAAATACAGTTACAGGAAAATTAAGGTTGGAAGTGATTTTGAAGGTCATTATTGTAATCCTTGTGTTCAAATCATAGCTAGGAACAAATTTGGATCAGGGTAGTTATTCTGTTGGGCAAATAAGTGGATACAAAATGAAAATTCTAAAAAATTCCACCGTTTCATATAGCACATTCCTGGTATTAACACTGAATAAAGGGCATTTTGAACAGGGGCAGTGAACTAACCTGTCCTGCTTTAAACTGCATGATGATGTTCTAGAGACATCTGTGCTTGTTAGAAAGGAGAAGCTTGCCAAAGGCTATCTGGACATTGTACTTTGAGAAGATGGACTGAGTGGAACAATTTTTATTTTTTTTTAATTCGTATGCTAAAAACAGCTTGAGACACTGTAAATGTTTCTGCCATGCTACACTGACAATAGACTAACACTCTCAAGAGTTTCTTCATGGTATGGTGGAATTAATTTGGCTATCAGTGCTTGGCAGCCAGAATTGAAGCTGCTCAGATTGCAGCTATAGAAGCAGTAGAAAATGGGTACTGCTATCATGTGACATCAAAACAAATTTTCTGCTGAAAGCAAGAAATACATGAGTTTTCATGTGGCAGATAAATTGGTCTCATGATTTCCTGTAAAATGTTATAAGATTATGGGGCAATTTCAACTCTTGTGCTTGGACCTTATCCCAACATAACTTGTAAAAACAATTTTGCTGTGTTAGTGTGTTTTAAAGGTGCCTTGATTAGCTGCAGAAAACAATTCTCTCAAGGCTTCTCTCTTACTCTCTTCTATGGGATATTTCCTCATTTGGACAGTCTGCTAGATAGTACTGGTTTTTTCTTGTTGTGTTTACACAAGATGATTGTTCTCAGATGACATAGAAGGACTAATAGTGTTCAAAATGTAAGTTATTTTTAAAAGTCTATTTAAATTCTGGTTTTATATGCTTTGGGGGTGCCTTCTTGACATCTGTATAAACTTGTATAGAAGTTAGTATTACATGATGGCAATAACCTAGAAAATTCAGTCTAACTCTGTTCAGTACCTCGACCAGAGGACTAGAACGTGGATAAAGTTTGTGACTGGATTTGTGATTTGTCCTGATGGGGGGATCCCTAGTGCCTTGATCAGCAGATGCCCAGCAGCAGTGTCTAACACCACACATCCCCGTTCAGACCTTGCAGCTCAAAGGACAGCAACCCAGCAGTCATGAAAAAAGCATCGCCACATATTTGCTGTGTCGGAAAAGAACAGATGTTAAAGAGGTACCGTTCAGCACCATGGAGGATTAAATGCTTCCCACACAGTGACACAGAACGAGACACAAAGCTACCAAGAAAAAAGTAACATACACAATTAAAGCTGCCTCCCATACCGTGCCAGTTTTAGTGGTTTAAGCACAGAATAGGATACACAACAGACAGAGATACAAAGCTCTACCAGATAGAGGATAACCTATGGTTTAAGGATTATAAGGTAACTGCATCACGTGAGGATTTCTATGATTGTGGAGCATCTGGAGTAAATGAAGGAAGAATGACACAGTGACCTTTGGAACAGTCTTCTAAATGCTAGAGCACAGACTGGCATTGAGAAAGACAAAACCTAATTATTATTTTTGTGGTTTGAATGTAAACTAAACTAATCCACAATTTAAAAGAAGAAAAGAACACTTTTGAGTGCAGTATGGACAGGCAAGCTGTCCTCCTTGTCACACTGCAGCAGGGTCAAACAAATAGACTTGAGATGGGGGATCTGAGACCTCCATGTGGCTTGATTTGTTTTGTTTTCTCTCATCAGCACACTGTGGTTTAATTGAACTCTTGAACTTCAGTCTGTTCCTCTGTCTGAAGGAGAACATAAAAGAGCTGAATGAAGAGATGATGAAAAGAATGAAGGGATGATGAAAAGCATGGCATGATTGCTGTACAGGGTACAGAAAGGGATATAGCTGCATTCCTGTGTGCAAGAACTCTTCAGGCTGCAGCTCAGAAATGACAACAGATGCATTGTTAAGTCAGGGAATTGTTTAGTCAGGGAAGGACTGTGGAAAGGGTGAACAGGGATCTGCTGTTCGCTGGTTTTCCGACACATGAACTTGGTGAGCCAGAGGAAACCAACAGGAGAGCAGCAAACAGACAGAGTGAGGAGGTTCTTCACACAGCAGGGATCAAAGCTGCAGTGCTACAGCTTCACCTGAGTTCAAGGATAGGCCTAGGAAGTCTACAGAGTCCACAACACTTTATTAAACACACAAAACCCATCCCTGATTCAGGAAACTCCTCAGCTACAAATGACTAAATGCCAGAGAATATGTGGGGCAAGTATAGTCACACATGGCTTGTTCTTATATTCTTCCCTAAGCACCTGCTTCTGGCTGCTACCAGGGACAAGATCCTGGGCTAAAAGGACTTCTTGGTCTGACTCAACACTAGAACATAAGAAATAAGACAGCCTAAACCCAGATCATGTTATTAGGCTCAAGATTCAAATGTAGGAATAATGTATCAGATTACTTTAGAGTCTATTAGCCATTTCTCCTATTAAAATCCATAAATAATTATATTTTTAACTAAGAAAATTGTGCTAGCTTTTCACTTTCTGCCAGTGAAAACGCATGCTTCATTTGATGGAGAAGTTATCATTGTTCACAGCCATTTCTAATATTGTATAAAAATTCTACAGAAGCAATAGATCACATTACAGAATGATAATAAATTACCTGTGCCTGAAGATTGCATATCTTACACTTTTTCCATACAATATATTATGGGTGTGCTTAGTAAAGAGCTGTCACTGACTACTTTTTATTTCAGATTAAGAATGCTTGGACAAGATCACTCTAAGAGCAGCGTGGTGCCAAGTGCAGGTTTCTGGAGCTGTGCAGAACAGCATGTCAGGTATGGTAATCACTGAGTGCTGAGGGCGTGGGCATGGCTCTCCAGGTTTCTTCAGCTAACACACCTACAGTGGCTGCCTCAGAGCAGGAGAACACTCTTTGTGTTCCTCATACGATTCGTACAGCCTTTCTAATTTCAGCACAATTAACCAGCCTCCTGATAGAAGGCCACAAAACCAGGACTTCATGTCACACTAGAACCCAAGCTAGTGGTATTAAAGGAAATAAGTTAGTCTTGAAAAGTGCTCAAATCTGCTGAGCAGGGTTGTTTCATAACATGAGAGATCACAATTTGATCTGCTTTTCAAAAAGACTACAAGAAGACACAAATGGAAACTACACTGAAGGAGCAATTGTTAATATATTTACCAGACTTTCCAAACTTTGTTCCTTCGGAGGCATAGAAAATTAAATTTATTTAATTAAAATTAATGTTATTTTTATTGCAGAAGGATTTGCCCTTACTGTATCAGTTACAGCAGAATGTAACATTGGAAATGGATATATATCAAAACAGAACTAAGACAGCTAGAAATAAGAGTATTTAGAAAATAATGTGATCTACAAGACAAAAAAGATATTGTTATTTTTATCTATAAATTTATCAAAAAATTAGAAACAATATTGAAATTTTAGTCTCAACCATCCAACCTCCTAGTGCAGGATAACCTGTTCTGTGGAGACCCGCGGCCTTGAAGCTCCGTGGTCTGCAGGCTGAGCCAAAAAGCAAAGGTGGTTCCCCAGTGCCGCCCTGTGTTGAAAATACAGAACTACACGGGAGAGCCCTTGACGTCAGATCACGGTCCAGGAAACAGCGTGTGCTCGGGTAACGAGCAAAACAGCAGCAAAACAAGAGCAAAACAACAGCAAAACAACCTCTGTCGCTGCTGCACATGCACTGTGAAGTGTGGGTTTGTGTTTTTAATCACAGGTCCGTCACTAAGACATGCACTGCGAAAGACTTTCATCGCTCTGATGAATAACAAAAAGAGATCTCGGTCATACGGTAGAATAATATTTACATGCAATCCCAGTAAACAAGGTAAAATGGCCATAGGTTTAGCTAAACAATAAAAAAACCCAACAAGTAATATTTGGCAGCAAATCGTCCAGGTAGTATTTGTCATCACTAATTTATTACTCAAAAGGAAGAGTATGTAAATGCTGTATTTGATGTACCCAGTAGCAATTGTAGTGCCAGATATGCTTGTGTAGATAAGGATTTTGGCCAGCAACAGTTTGCATACATACAAATAGCAGGTTAGTGATAGCTGATTCAGGGCAGGCCAGAATCTCACCTTAAACTGTAATGCATCTATACATTTCCTGTTCAAAACTTGTACTGTAACAAGAAACTAAAATTGTGTACATTCATAGTAATGTTGAGAAAAGATATCTTAAGTTTTTCATAATCTCTGCATAATTGTTGTTCGTATTCCTACTTATAGTCAGAATTATAAATATAGTTCACTACCTTAATTAACACCTCTAATATGATGCACCTGGTATGTCTGTACTAGGAGAATATTTCCCCATGGTTTTCACCGTGGAAACATGTTCTGACTGCCTGTGATCAGTCTGTTAGGGCAAGAGAGGTGCAAATATGTAGACATGTATGGTGTACATACAACAGGAGCCTTGTAAGCACTTCCCCTGTCAAAGTTCTAAAGCAGTTTCCCTGAGCTTAACAAGAAGGAAATATTTTCTCTAGCCAGTCATATAAAACTATCATTATTTGCCACTGAGCTGAGTAAAGAATACAATTTTTTAATATCTTTAGAATACTGATTAACAACAATGTACACAGCACAGAATATTTCAAACTTCATAGTGCAAAGTACACATCTTTTATTACATTCTGGAACTGATCCCAGAGTAGCTCTTCACGAAGTTATTTTCTCTGTGGTAAAGCAGCACTGAGAGTGTTCTCACACTTGCTGTCACAAAGTGTTTGTAAGACCACAGAGATGTCTGGGGTGTGTCTTTTCCTACACTGCACTTTCCTTTGCAGTAATTGCAGAGCAGAGATATTAACAGCTGCTTTGCGCCTCCATGAAATCCCATTTATATAGGAGAGAAAGCAACAGTTAGGTCAGCTGTGAACTAACCCATAGTTTTCTGATCAAGGCAAAGTGTGTCATTTTCACACCATTGAATTGAGCTTTCTGTAAAACATTTGTACAAATCCTGCAAATACTACCTTGATTCAAGGCTGAAGAACTCAGGGGTTCGGACTAGTAACTTCCTCCCCTCAGCATTAGCAGGAAACAAGGTTGTAACATCAGTCCCAGCATCTCAGCAGACACATGATACTGGGGAATCATTACTGCACAGTCACTTGCTAGACAAACATCCGGGGATCCTCCCGAAGACAAAATTTAAAGAGGATTTTCAACGTCTTTTTGGCACAGCTGTTGATATAAGTTATGTGTTACGGGTTTGCCATGCCTGTAAATCCTTACAGGGATGCTCTTGGCTGCATGGAGGGGTGGATGCACTTTGTGCAGAGGCTCTGACCCAAAGACTCTCAGAATCTTTAAGTGAAATTCTGATTCTCAGAATAAATATGCAATTATAATTTATAAAAATCAATTCTAATTTACATTTGGTGGTGCAAACACAGCTGTTTGAAAATGCTCAGTGGTGGTGTAAATTACAGAGCGTCCACCAGAGGGAAGCTCATGCATGCATTCAAAGTGAAATCATTTGAAGGATGAGTGAAACACACAACTGATATTTTAGCCAAAGCAAATTCTATTCAAAGTGGTTTGTAGCAGTAACACAGACTTCTTGAGCTTGGAAATTTTTCAGAAGTTATTTGCCAATCTAAAGGTGACAGACTTACAGGAACTTTCCTGTGTTGATGACCGAGTTGTTGCACTACATGTAATATGCATGCTCACAAAACACTTCAGGTTGTTTTTTTTTTAAGCACACAGATGCAGCCTAATTTCACTCCTGCTGATGAATTAGACCAGAGCTTCTTGGTCTGAAGTCCAGATTCGCGGTTCCATTCGTTAAAGCCCCACCCACGTTTGGTCACCAGAGTGAGTAAGATCCTGAGTTGTTCAGCCACTGTTGTGTTTTGTGTGTGATTGAATATACTGTGTTGCTCCCCCTATTAATGGAAACATTTGTTAAATTTTCCATAAAGTTTGTGTACTACTAATGTAAATTTGATGACAGTCAGACACTTTTAGAGAACATTGAAGACTGCTGACAGTCTGCAGTTTTTATAGTGAGCCAGGAGTCACACAGAGCTCTTCAGAAACATGCTCCCTAGACATTAACTCTAATATCTGTGATATTTGGCCTAATAGCCTGTCTTCAGAGTCTTATTCAAGCAAATCTTAGTATTTCAATACTTCTCTGGGATCTTTTTAGAAACAGAAATCCCAGTTCAGAGATTCATTTGTTTTCTTGCTCAAATGAAAGACACAGCCAGAGGCAGAGGCCATCTGGCAAGCAAACTTCAGCTGAAGTGGAGAAACATGTTTCTGAAAACTGTAAGGACAGATGCTTTGGAAGTTCAACCACACACCACTGGATTAGAACTATACTAATACCAATGGTTGTACAGACAACTGCTCTTTTCCAACAAAAGATGGACTTTACCTAAAGAACCTGCCAGTCCCTGTAGCACTGTGTGACAAAAAGTACTAGGCATCTCTCTGTTATTTTTTTTTCCAATAAAAATCTGCATCTTAGTTTAATCTAGATAACCCACTGGCAATAAATTAAGAAATAGCCCTTATGAAGTTACTTCTGGAGAAATAATATGTATAAAGGTGATTTCATTAGAAGAAGCAACATTGCCCAGAACTTCCTCCCATTTTCACAAGTGGTTTTCAGAAATTACCTTTAGAATACAAACAACTTGGTTGGGATTTTCCCCTACCCAATCTTTATTAAATGTAGTTAAAAATGAAAGGAATTGGAATCATGTATCAGATTAAATCCAAATTAAAATTTATTACACAAATAGTATTTTGAAGATATAATACTTCAGTGGAGTTATTCTGGATTTGCTTTTGATCTCATTATACTCTTACGAGATCAAAACCAGCTAAGCTGATTTGGGGGTGATGATGTTGCAATCCTTTTTACATGGTGAAAAATACTTTTTGACTTGATATTATGCATTACATTTGCCAGGTTTGTAAAATTAGGGAAATAATCTGTATCACATTCTTAAATTTAGAAAACCTATGCATAACTCCTTTGTTTCTGTGAATCTTTTTTCATGGTAAATACCCTTCCAGTTTCACTTCTGTGACTCTTGAACATTTCTCTTGTACTGCTGTTTTAGTTCCTCCTTTAACATTTTAGAATTTAACTTCAAAAGAAGATGTTTTGAGATCAGGATAACAAAATAGTTTCATATTCTTTGGCCAGACTCTGAAGAATTTGGGATACATTCAGGAGGACAACACATTCGTATATTTTCTCTCTGACATGGAGCATTTCCTCCTGTAAGCCTGTATCCAGACTGGAAATCCTCATGGTTATTGTTTGGCTAAAGAATGGCAATTTCCCAGAGAATTCGAAATACAGGTCCAACCCACTTTATTGTACCAAGACAGTCTCACTATAGGGCAAATGTTGATTTCCTCTATGCCAGTGTATTTCTAAATTGTGGTTGACTGTTTTCTGCTGAATTAAAAGAGGTGACAGGAAAACAGTAAGCACAACTTTTCATGCTTTGAAACAGAAATTCCTGTCAAACATATAATGCACATTTGTAGTTTATCTGCCACCCCTCTTTTTTTTTTTGTTTCTATAAAATAAAATGTTGAGTTAACTCATGTGAGCAAGCTCACAGCTGTTGATTAGATCAGTAACTTCAACAAAGTAGTGAGTTTCTTTAAATAAGGACAGCTTAGAAAGACCACCAACAGTCTTCAAAATCTGCTAAAGCATGATGGATGTAAAACTGAAAGCAAAGTCAGATGCTGCACTGTATTTTTATTTTTGCTTTGTGTGCAAAAATGCACATCTTCCTAAACAACAGGAACTGCCCTATGTGGTCAGATGTGTGTTAGGGTAGGAGATCATAGGCCACACTACCCTACAGAGCAGCAGTTAGAGAACTTGCTCTCCAGTAGCTCACTAACACCTTCAGAATAAAAGCAGGGCCCAGAGCAACCAAGAACTGAAGAATTTCCAGAATGAGTCAAGCTGAGGAAAGCAGTATCCACTCAACATGGAATATTGTGAGGTCAGTAGTCTGCATAATACTGAGCTTGTCATTTATTATTGGGACCCCTGGAAACTGCATCGTCATCTGGACTGTTTGTAGAAAAATGAAGCAAGTGTCTCTTTCAGTGCTGCTGATCTTGAACCTGGCCATTGCTGATGTCCTCGTGCTGATCACTTTACCAATCTGGATTTACTCCTTTGCTGACTCATGGGTTTTTGGAGTCATCTTCTGCAAAATACTGGTTTTCATTATTTACTGCAGCATGTATGCAAGTATATTTCTAATTACAGCACTGAGCTTGGAGAGGTTAGTGGCTGTGTTTTACCCTTTCACAATTCAAAGATACAAAAGAAAAGAAAAGATTTCTTTAATCATGTTCCTCATTTGGTTCCTGTCTATTACTTTTGGCATTTCTGTCATTCCCTTTCAAGAGACAGAAGAAATGAATGGTCAACTGCTCTGCACATGTCGCAGCTACTCTTCTAACAGACAGAAGGTGTCATATCTTTTGCTGGAGACTCTTGCAGGTTTTGTAATCCCTTTTTTAATTATTTGCACTTGTTATGTGTGTGTGGCCCGAAGGATAAGCAGGATGACTTACCAATCTAAGCAGCGATCAGGCCGGCTCATTGCCAGCATCGTGGTGGCATTCCTTGTGTGCTGGTTCCCTCACCACGCCTTCAACATCCTAGATGTTATTTCCATCGAAATAGAACTCTCTCATGAGGAAATGTCTTTGGCACTGGATGAAATTGTAGACAAAGGAGTGTACATCTCTGGAGCACTTGTGTTCATCAGTAGCTGTATTAACCCTCTGCTTTATGCTTTTGCTGCACGAAGATTTCAGAATCACCTGAGATTTGCCAAGATGTCAAAGCTGTTTGAGCAGATGAGTCAGACTGTGACAGAGGAAGACAAGAAAAGAAGTTTGGTTGTAAACAAACAAGAAGATGCTTTAGTAGGCACAGAAAATCTCTAACAAGGAACTCGTTGATTAATCTGTGTCATTTCTTCAGTAGTCCTTTCTCCTCATACTCTAGTTTCGTTTATTAAGCAGTCCAGGGAAAGCTAGAGACAGATAAAAGCTTTTTGGTTTGGTTTTTTTCTTGTGTGCTTTATAAGAATTGGCACTGACAACCTAGTTCAGTTCATAAGTTAATATCCGCATCATGAAATAAGCATTATTTCACTGTTGCTGAGAACCTCAGCAAGGTGGATAGAAGCTCAAATTGTAAGGAATACAGCATTTTTACTTTCCATTGTATTATTTCTGATTTCTAGGAAGTCTGTGAGCAGAAAATAACTCCTTGTGGAAAGGAAAGGCTTTGAAAATTTAAAACTAAGTTTTTCTTCAGAAAAAAATCGTTAGATGGTCAAAAATCCTTATATAATCTAAAGTTTTAAGAGTCCATAGTTAAATTCTTGATATGGGTAAGAAGTTTTAAAGTACAATAATGACATACTCTTCTGGGTAGATGGAAAATCTAAAGCTATTTTTATTCATTATTTAGGTTTGAAAATAATAATTGTTGTTTACACAATTAAGCTCCTTTACTGCATTACTTCGTGGTAATAGGTTTGAAAAAGTCAAATGTGAAGTGTGATACATCTCCAGAAAAAACAGGAGGTATGAGAACTCTGTGTTGTGTGACAAATATGATTACAGACTGCATGCTATATTTGATGTCAAACACATTGCATACTTCAGAGGCAATTCAACTATTGATGTATTAAATGTATGTACTCTGAGTATCCTCCAAATTTCTGATTCAGTTAAGCTTCCAAGATGTCTATTAAATTATGGAGGAATTGGATCAGGCTTAGGTGAGAAGGAAGGAGAGATCCTTGATACCATTTGTAATGTGTAAGAAAATATGGTAGCAGTACAAAGTATCTAACGTCAGAAGAACTTCACCTTGCAAATAAAAGTGTTACTTTTTCTTCTCTTGTAGAATAGAGGGGACTTCACCATGAGAAACCCATAAATTTAGTACTTGCAAGGACTTTTGTTAATGTGTGCAAACTCACTGTGAAATACTGCATGTTATCAAGTGTTTGCTTTTGAAGTTTTATTTATTTCAATTGTGCCTAACATTTTTATCCTTACTTTTCTTAATTTTTAAGTCAATAATTTGTAATAAGATCAAGATAACTACTGATTAAGAAACATATTGTAATTTCCTGTATCTTGTTCTGGACAGCTGCTAAATAGTTATGTTACTCATTCTTACAAAGAAATTACAAATACTAACTAGAACTTAATTTTCCAAGTCTGATTATGTCACAACCGAGTATATTTAAGTTGTATTAATTTAACATGTAGACTAAAATAAACATGGGGAAGTAAAATCCTTAGCTAATGGGAAAATATTTCTCTAAACTTTGCACATGTGTTATTCCTGCTTGTTATCAAAAAGTCATTATTTCTTCTCAATAAGAGAAAAGTCCACAGCAGAGAGGGCTTTCCTTCAATAGGATTCCTTCACTGAAATTAAAGAAAACTTTAACAAGACCTTGTTTGCAGCAAAGAGTAAGAAACAGATGAAACCCTTCAGACTTTACCCCATCCACCTCCAACTCTTTTTTCATCCCGCTAATGCCTCTTTAATTGTTATTAGTACATTCAGTATAACAACATGGCATTATCTCACAAAGAAAGCAGTAACTTTAGTTCTCTACCCCATAAACAGTGAAGCTGTATTTCCCTGTGTTCCTGAGGTAGGAGTCACTTGCTGTTGAACACCCCAGCACAGGTGAGACTGTGCCATGGGCACAGGTGAGACTGTGCCATGGGCACAGGTGAGACTGTGCCATGGGCAGTGAGCACTGCACTGCACTGCAGCCTGGGCCACGAGGAGCCAAGCACTGCACAACTCACAGGGGGAAAGACCCAGACAAACTTCAGTACAGGCTACCTGACCCGAATTTTCCTTTCTGTCAGTCTGTGCCCTATACCTAGCATGAATTTTCTGCCTCAATATTCAGTTCACACACTTTCTCCACTGCTTTTTACTCATAACTGTGTTATTAAAGTACACCATGTGATCCGTTCAAGGAGCTAGAGCTGTCTCGTGTTCTCATTAATGGCCTTGGACAGCTGCCTCCAGTAGTCAGTCATCTTTCAGAACTATGTTTCTTTTGAAGGCTATTTGAGACGTAGTAAAAGATACTAAAACAGCAACTTTAACTTATTTCACTTTTATACAGAGCAAATAGAGTTAATTCTTGCAAATGTTGGTATGCACAGATAAAAGCCCCACCAACTTAATATTTTTGTTGCCACAACCGTAACTGGGCCCATAAGAGTCCATGTCAGCATGTGGTGACAGTTCACTGCTGCCTCCTTTAGCAGTGAACACCAGTGTACCAGGCCTGCTGCTCCAGCTGTGCCAGCGTGCTCTGGCACCAGGCAACAGGGACTGCAGTAGGCCCATTCAGCCAGTGGACCTTCTCCTCTCCTAAAGTACTGAATCCCAGCCAAACCTAAGGTGTAGCATAGATTGGGTCCAAAATGCTGCATCTGCTGATAACGATATTCATGCTTCTTGTTGGCTGCCTTACAAATCCATTTGACAGATTATATTGGAAGACTGGTAGAAAACAAAGATTTTCCTTGATTGTTCAACCTAGATCAAAATAGTGACTATCAAAATAGAAGGTGAGATCAGTCTTGCTAGTAACTCTTGAGACACTTACTCTCCTGGACAAAATGAGGTTTCGTGTCATTCGAGTTCCTCTTATTTTTCGTACTTACTAACTCTGCCATCCTCGTTTATGAAGTCTGTCTGTGTGCTTGCAGTGTCCAGCTATTTCTCATGACACAGCAGGGACGAAGGCTGAGCTGAGAGAAGGCCACTTCAGTCACCTGAGTCAAATCACCTCAGGTTACACTGAAATACAGGGAACATAATGGAATCAGTGCAACACTGCTTAGAACACTGAGTACTAGGAGTGACCAGATAGTTTAAATCTGTAAAAATTAATAATCTTCTAACATTTCTCTCCTAACATTAAAGTCTTACCCAGTCTGAAACTTGCTGTGAACATTGCCTGGGTTTTCACGGGGAATTTATCATGTTTACCGTAGTAGGATCGTGCTGCTTAAAGTGAATTCGTGCTGTATTAACAGGATTGAAGGAAAACCTGAAGAATTTTTAGTTCATGAATAGCCAATATACAAGAAGGATAAAAAAGATCATAAAGAAAAAGCATCAGCATTACACCTTTGCTGCCTGCTGATATCAAAGCATTTCTGTAAGCATCCTGGTAAAAGAGTTATATCAGATGTCTGGGTTAAAACAATGGAGCTTTGTGTATATTTAGAGGCAACTGATAATTTAAGAAGTAGCACAAGGAACATGACAGATCCTTATTTGAGGCAGAAACAGGGAAACTGCATTATACTAAAGAAATCTTTTTTTCTTTAACAAAACCATCAGAACATTTTCTAGGAAGAAGTAGAGCACAGTTAAGAGCCATTTTAAAGACAGTTAAGGCTGTAGTTGTGAAACTCTTAGGCTTACTATTAACAGGACTAAAAGAAAGATTTGCCTGCAGTACTTGTGTGAAAGGAATAATAGAACATGAAAGCTGACAGGTGTCACAGACACAACATAGGAATGCAAATTCTTTCACGTTCAAGCAAGAGTCTGGTACAGAATAAATATTTTAGAAGATGCAGAATTAACAAGTATTAACAGTGGTGAAGATTTTCTCTACAGGTTTTTCTACAACTCTTGTATTACTCTCTTTTCTGCATGTATTGGGAAAGGGGAAGAGGAAGGAGAAGTTGTTGGCTCTTTTTTGAGTAGAAAAGCATGAGAAATAAGTCAGTTAAGATTATTAAGAACCATATGGACGTAGAACAAAAGTGAGAAGTTCAGCTATGAAAGCTGAGTATAAAAAGAGAACAGACAGGGAAGTGAAAGCTACTCTGTTGCAACACAGTTTCAGATTTTTGTAAATGCTTTCTTGTCAGATCAGTTAATTGCTAAAACAGTTCTTTATTAGAAAACTTCTCAGTGTGATCTCCACTGGTCGTTAATAGGTTAAAGAAAAAAATCCAGTTATACAGAGTTTGGAGACAGCAGCCTGTCCTCTGAGAGGGCGAGTGGCTTGTGCTGCCCCTGTTGGCATTGAGAGTTGGGTGTGACCAGGACTATGGCCACTGGAATTTCAGAGGCTTTACAACACTGTTTACAGTCCTAAGAAAGTTCTTGCACTGAAAGGTGTGGAGATAAGAGAATCAGATGCAGTCTGATTCCTTCATGTGTTCTTTCCCCTTAAATCAATTATTTTAAAAGTCATGCAAGTGGTTCTTAGTAAGGATTCAACATTTTAAACCAGATTCATTTAAGTCGAAGAGAGGTTTGGGTTAGAAAAAAATCATTTTTATGGAATATGTCAAATCAGTGATTTAAATGATGGAATTAACAAAAAAGATGCACCAGAATCTTCCAATACAGGTTAAAGAGTCACAGCTCTTAAGTCAGGATTTTATACCTCTGCTACGACTGCAAAATCCATTTATTCTTCATTTAGCAGAAACCAGCTGTTTAAACTACAGCTTGATTGCAAAAATAACTGGATACACTTCAGTTTTGGCTGCAATTGTGTAGGTACTAACAGTGAGAACTGTTCTGAGACATCTCAAAACATTAGTGTGTCGTAATTATGGATGTCCATAAAGTGAAGGGGATGTCCAGATGGCTTTAAATCAGAGGATTATTGGTTTAGACTGCCCCTACTAGATCTTAAAGTGAAAAAGCAGACTTTTCATTTTTGCATAGCAGATCTGTTTATGATGTGGCACATTACATAAAAAATTCAGGGCTAAATATTTCATTTTCAGAGAATTATGAATTTGAAGCACTACTTATGGCCTGTCATCAACCTGGTAGTGTCACCATAAAAGTGACCATAGGAAGAGAGCTGTATGAAGATCATTTCTGGTCACTGTATCAGTGATGCTGTGGGAAGGTGTGGCAGCGTGGACAATCTGAAAACAGGTTATAGATTCCATATCTTAGCTGCACTGCATAACTTCCAAAGTTACTGTGATATTACATTCACTGTATAATTCCCTATTGAACTTGGTCAGTAGTAGCAGAAACTTAGAAGTCATGGACACTTTGTTAAGCATTGTAACTAATGAATTACGTTAATGTCCATTACATTTAAAAATATAGCCAAGAAGCTTCAGCTGTGCTGTGGAAGGGAAAGTCACAGCTAAACTGAGGGAAGCGTTTCGCAGGGAGGTTTTTTCCATGCCTTGCTCTCTCCTGCCACCATGTGGCTTTTCCATTTAAAAAAAGGCCTAATTGTAATACCCTCGAAGTCACTGAAACGAGTGGTGAGGTACTTTGTTCATTGTTTAAGTTGTGAGCCATATTTCAGGTTCAAGTCATTGAAGCAGGAAGGTTCACAAAAAAACACAACAGTATATTGAGCATTCATTCTATTCTATTCATTTCAGAGTGACCTAATTGGTCTTTTTCTTACTTTTCAGGAGCCCAAGCCCCCACTGTTTCAAGCATTGCATAAATTACATGAGCTGAGAATGTTTGACAGAATACAATTACCTCATACCAGAAAATAACTTTTTTTTTCTTCCCAACAAAACCATCAATAAGCATTTTGAGCTGGACCGTGACTCTTGAACTTGAGTAGCCCACATCTCACCCCAGGTGATAGTATTGATTTATAGGCTCTTGGTAGTCTTGAGGTGTTCTCAAAAATTTTCAAAAGATCTTGACTTCCTTGAGATTAATTAGGAATGGTTCTTGCAGTGTTGAAGATGTCCATGATAAGAAGATCATAAAAGCATTTCCTTTCAGAAAAAAAAGGAGAAGTATTAAGAATACAGCGGAAAACAGAATCAATGAGATTTGGTTGCAAATTCCCTTCTTCTCTATAGCCATGTTTAGTTTCTGTATCTAATACTTTTACTGTCTATGAACAAGGCTTGGCTTAATTAATCCTATTATATTTGTCACCTTGAATAGCATTATACTAATTGACTAATCCTGCCTTTAAAAAGATCAGAATCAGAAGAACCTGATTTTGCTGAAGAACTTCTCATAAGCACTTCTAGGAAGAAGAGTTCACAAATTGAAGGGTTCTACCCGTGCTTTCCTTAAACATCCATTCTACCCCAAGACTCACACTGTATATCACACTAAACCCCAGCCATTTTACTTTGTTCTGTGATGACTAAAGTAACATGAAAATTGAAGATCTGTCTCTCTGGGTTCACTCCCTGCTCCTGTTGTTTGTTGTTATGCAGATGGGTCCAAGTGTGATGCCAGGGGATCAGGTCCATGGACAATAGCCAGCATCACAAACAGCCAGTGATCACCAGGAAGGACCCCCATGGTAAGTCAGGGCTGATGTCAGGAAATCAGTGCACAGGCCAGGGCCTGTATCAGCGAGGTCCGTGGCCACACACAGGCATGGCAGAACTCCAACAGGCATTCCAACAACACAAGGCAGGGAGGGGGCGAGTTCCAGGCCTGATTTTGTGTGGGCTCCAGGACCTATAGGCAGGGTCTGCAGGGTGGAGCTAATCAGAGTCATTAAGGATCATTAGTGCACTCAGGGACCCGTTAGATTCTCAGCAGCAATGGAAACACAAGGAGCAAGAACCAGATAATGCAAATTATTCATGGAATAATGCCCACAAGCCACAATTGTCATTTTCTGTAACGGGTTAAGTTTGGGAAACTTTGTATAAAGAGGAAGAGCTTCCTAAAAAAACTATGTTATTTTTTCTTTTTAACACTTCAAGGTTGCTGCTTTTTCACTTATACTTACACTCCTTGTAACTTTAATATTACATCTGGAGAAGAATTGTAATAGAAGAACCAGAATATTTTTCCTACATCTAACCCTTTTTCTTCCCTTAATTCTTCAAATCTCATCACAGTTTTTCTATCTTTGAATAACAGAAAGATACTTTGTTCCTTCTGAGATCCAAAAAATACATCTTAACTTTTTACCATTGGAAATACATGGAAATTCTGTGAGTGCAAGAACTAGGAAAGCATACACTGCTCTGATCACAAAGATGTTATCACACACAGCACTGAGGATTTTACCTGATTTGGGTCACTGAACTTTGGCTTGAGTTAACCAGACAATTAAATAGCCAGTGGAACTGATTGGCCATGTGATATGATCTTTCATTTCATTTAAATGAATGCCATGGGTTGAATAAAGTTAAATATTTAGCATCCTGAGCACAACAGCAAAAAATGAAAAAATGCTTGGTATGTGTTTAAAAACACGATGACACATTTCTCAACAGCAAGTTCACATTGCACTGGCTATAGGGTACTTGTTGCTCTGTAATATAACACATAAATAGTTTTAGGCACACAGAGGGGTAGTGATGTTATTTTAATGTTTCAAATTAATGGTGTTATCCACAAATGTTAAGGTATATCAAAGAGAATTAAACTGTTTAGGAACTCACAGATCATTTTCCTGCCTTTTTTTGCCAATAGGTGAGGTGAGCAGGCCTTGAACTGACCTGAAGGCATGGTCTGTTTTACACTTTCCTCACACACAAATTCCACCTTACAACAGGGGACATGACACCCCTTTCTGTGCTTCAGCTGTTTTTATAGTTTCTTAGTTCCTAAATGTTTGTAACATCTTGGAAACACCATTTCTGAAGAAGCTGGGGCCCTGCTACTCCAGGCCAGGGAGCTGCCCCTGTGGCTGCCCCTGTGCCAGACCCTCCAACTCTGCAGTGCTGAGTTTCATTTCAGGTGTGCTCATTTCCAGGTCTGCTTCAGCATGTCAGAGTAGCACAGTGATACACCTCCAAATGGCCTTGCCATTGCTTTTTTGTGTGCCAGGGAAATCCCTTCTCATTTCCTGCATTTACAGGCAAAATTAAACACACAGAGTGTGGCATTGCTAAACTTGGGAAGTGAAGTTTCATACTTTCAGGCTCAGTGTGAACAAACATTTCACCTTATCTGCTTCAGCCAAATCCACTTCCTTTTCCTTCTGCTTCCTCCCATTTCCATGCACAAAGTGGCTCACCATCATTCCTGTTTAAGGAGGATGGTGGTGTCTCTGATCTCTGCTGTGGGCTGGAACTGGGATGCAGAAACGTGCCTCAGGTCGGTATCTTTCAGTAAAGTGAACGAGCAAACAAAACAAAAACCAAAAAAAACCTAAAAAACCTCACAGGAAACCCAGCTTGATATGTCTGAACCAGAAGATAAAGACAAGCCTCTTAAACTAGCAACTTCCCATATTTTGATTAATATTATAGTGTATTCAATTCTTCAAAGAGCTGTATATTAAAGAAACAGTAATTACTAAAAAATCCAATGGCAGGGAGAACTTAAGGATTTCTCGTTCTTAACATCATGAGCTGCTTTGAACAATTAATTATCTCTAAAATCTAATGTTTAAATGCTAATTCTAGATGTGTAATTAATGGTTACATGACAACAAATAAATAATACAGCATACAAATATTTTTTATTTAAGGAAGAAGGATTTTAACCTGTATATGAAGAGGCTCAGGAAATAGGAAATTGGGAATGGAGAGGACTCCATTCAATCCACAAGAAATTTGAGGGATGCTATAGTAAGAAGGGCCGTGAAAGTAAGGAAATATTTCTTGACTAAATTTAAAACTGGCCTAGGAAAACCCAGGCTGCAGGTGTTGATGGAAATGTTGCAGGAATTTTAAAACAGTTTAGTTTTATGACCAGTTATCCAAGCTAAGGCAATGATAGGAAGTAACCCTATCTACTGCCCCGGGGTACAAGCCAGGGGTCAGGAGGGCACTCCTTTCAGTGCCACAACATTACCTGCATCTCAAAAGAAGAATTTTGCTGTTTCTTCTGAGCAGAATTCACATTCCTAGAAAATTCAGATGGTTAATATTCTGACAAGGAGTTCAGTTTTGTATTTAACATAAAATATTCCTGTAGGAATTCTATCATGCCTCACAATGAAAGCCAAAGGTCAGAGTGGGTTCCAGGAGTGCCCTGGTGAGCTGAGAGAGGCTGTGCTGCTTGTGAGCCCTGGCTGGGCTCTCACTGCTCCTGCTTTAGGCAGGGAAAGAGGAGAGGAAGGGAAGTGCCCAAGGCTGCACAATAAATGTCAGGCTAAGAGTTGGAAAAGTATGATAATATATTACCATGGTTAAGTATAGATCTAACAAAATTATCATCATACAACACAGGAGGGCAAAATGCTTCCAAATTTTATTGTTAAAATACTTTTATGAGTTTTAATAGAATTGGTATAAATTCTATAGGAATTAATACCAGATAGGAAGGTATGTAGGTAGACTTCTTAAGGAAGGTAGACTTCTTAAACTAGGGTTTTTCAAATGGCTTCCTGGATTGACAATAAGGGAGAAATAATAACAGAGAAATTTCAATTAAAATAATATATTAAAGTTTAAAAAATAAATTTTCTCAGATAGAATGACTAAAATGTTATATATGTAAAGTATATATTAAACATATAAACAATTGCCTTTACAAAGTTTTCCACAACTTGATTAAAATGAAAGTTTTAGGTTTTGATTGCGAAAGTGTTTAAAGGTGTTTTTTAAAAAGCAAGGAATATAGACCTACCTTGTAGGCATTTGATTTCAACATGCCTCAGAGGTCAGACTGCAATTCAAGGTTATTACTTCTTACGTTTACAGGGAAGATCACACACAAATAGTTGCTTTATGTCCATCACATATAATCCCTCACTTTAGAAATGAGCCCAGAGGCTACTGTAAGATGTCTTAGAAGGCCACAGAACAAAAGGAGTGTTTTTTATTTTAGTTCCATAATAGAACCAAAAAATGATTTTAGTCTCAAACTTGCAGCAAATTGGAAATGCACCCTGAATCCTGGCATTTTTCATTGATAATACAAGCTTTGATTTTTAAAAGTAATATATTTAAGACCCATGTTGTATTATGCCTGATTTTTACATTCTGAAAATAGAGTTTCTGGTATGCTGTGTCATGATTTGGAGTTTTAATATCAGACCTCTAAAATGATGTTTCAAATTGGTTGTATATTTTCGATTTAGATGTGATGAGCACAATAGTGTGGGACAGATTTTTTTGTAGGTTAGTTTAATTTTGGGCAGATTATACATCAGAGAAGACAAAGAAGATGAAGCCTACATCTCTTATTAATCCATCTAAAAGGGATTTCCTTCTCAGTCTACAATATATTTATCTCAGTATTACCTTAGTTTCAGGCCAGCTTTCTTCAGGAATTTAAACCCTGTCTCAAGGGGGACTGCCTGTTACGAATCATTGCATTTAGGAAAAGCAATCCAGTGGGAAGCTGGTTTTGCTGAAGTATCATTTGTGCCTTCACAGCTCTCCATTTTCAGCTGAGCTGGGGGATGCTGCAGATGACACCCAGGTTTTTCACTCGGCTTTCACTTTTATGTAACACAGCCATCTCAGAGCCTCTGGCATTTATTTCTTTTGTAACCTACAGTATTCACATATTCACTAGAATACAGAGAAAATGATACCTATTCCCAAAAGGTTTAGTGAGCTGATGAATCATCATTTAACCTTTTGCTCAATCAGCACAAGGAATCAGTCAGCACACAGTAACTGTGTCTGTGTGCACACATGTATGTGTGCACATACACTGGTATTTTAGGGAGAAATTTGTGTACAGAGAGTGTCATACTTTTCCACAGGATAAATAAATTGTTTTACCAAAGTCATTCAAATAGATCTGTTATAAAAGCAAGGGAAATCCCTAACTATGCAAGGAGTTTGTTCCTGCATAACCGTTGCATGCATTATTTCATCTCGTTGACTTTAATATGACCACTCCCAAGCTTAAAATTAAGTATGTGCTGAATGTTTAGATTTTTAAAGGAACCAGAATATAAAGATCTTCCCAAACAGAAAGCTGGTCTCAGGGATTTTTTGCTTTTGGAAGAGTTTCCTAAAATGTATTTTGCTTTGCCTGATGATATTTCTGATGTCTTCAACAGTTTCTTCACAGGTGTAGTCTATTGCCATGTGCATGTGTTCTTGAAATATGAGATGCATCTGCTCTCTAAAGATATTTAAAAATTGTAACTCCCAGAAGAAAATAATTTTGTATATAAAGAATGAGGGGCCCAGCATGGTCACCTAGCCTGAGTACCTATGTATATTGTACACAAGTTCCTGTTGGCTAACGAAGTATCATGAAGTGCAGTTTTGTGCAGTAAGAGCAATAACAATCTGGACAAAGAACAGGTTGCAGAGCATGTGATGTGCTGCATATTCACACCCCAGCACGCCCTGTAGTAGCTTGTTTGTACGTTTGTACCTACAGGCAGTAGAATCCTTGTTTCACCTTTTGCCTAAACTTCATTGAATAGAGGCAAACAGCCTCTATTATTAGATATTAGATACAGATATAGATATTAGAAACAGAAAGAAAAGAACTATTAAATTGGCTAAATTCAGTCTGAATATCCCCAAGTTGCCTATCACATAAGCATTCTCTCTGATTTTACAGACAGAAAATGTAGGAGATTAAGTAACCTCTGTACGAATTTTTGGAACATACAAGGTAATTTGGAAACAGAATTAAGACTCTCTGATTCCATGGCAGTTTTTCCACATTAGGTTGTCTTTCTCAGGCACATCATGATAATTTTGGTGTACTTGTTCTTTTCATCTGTTCTGTCCCGACAGTTCTAACATACATAATGAGTTTGTAACTTTTTTTTCCTCCTACATCCATCCTCATTTCCTTGTTTCCTCAGCCACATCTTTCAGTCATTCGAGTCTCCTCTACTAGCTGTTTTACAGCCCCTTTGTCATAGTGGTGCTAAAGGAAGCTCACAAATAATGGATTAGGTATAAAAAGATGGCTGTGAGGTACTGTATCAGTGAGACAGTCCTGCTACCCCTGTGTCTTGTAAAACTGTCCTGTATATTTTTCCTACTGTCTTAACTTACACTTGCAAATGAAGGTAGGCTCACATAGTGTTTGACAACAGAGGCTATACCATGACACACAGCTGATTAATTCTGCTCAGGATTTTGTATGTCTACTTTCTTGACTTTCATCTTCACGAATCCATGACATCATGCACAAATTGAACAGTCTAACTACAAAATTGATCCATTCTGTGACTGTCTGTGAATTGTCCTTTAACACTCTGAGAACTACTACTGCAATGATAAAGTCTGTTGTTTGTCAACTCTGGCTTAGCCTTTGCTGAGTAGACCATAACATAAGTGCTTTTTGAAAAGTTATGGAAGTTTTCACGTCTATGGACTCTGTCGTCCCTGGCATACTGAGACAGGAATTCTAAAGCATCCCCTAACAAGCTTTTTATCAAAGTATTAGCCTCAAAGAGTTACCTTCTCTTCTGGGCCAGTGTACATAGGAAATGTTTCCAGTGTTAATCATTAACTAAAAGAATGGTTTGGATCTATGAACATTCAGATCTATGAACATGAGAGATTTCTTTCATTTAGTATATTGCAATAATTGCACAAACTAATTTAATGGAAGAAATAAGAAACAACACAGAGCAACAAGGCTCATTATTTGCATACTTAGGAGACTTCCTGAAGCTGGAAGTAAACAGTGGTTTTGGTATCGAAATTCCCTGCATGCAATCTTTGTCTCCATCATTAACTGGCAGTTTACTGTAAACATCAAAGTGTAAATATGTCTCGAGGTTGGATTTTAAGTTGAATACCAATTAATTTGAGCAGGGTTTTCTAGATTTAAGGGATAGGATGAAAGACAGGTTTGGGCATAAATAAATAAACAAGCAGCAAAAACTGGCATCTAGCTGGAAGTATTGGGATGACAGGTGAAAATTACTCTGGAGGACCAACCTCACTGAGGCCTGTAAATGTAAGGGTGAGGTGGGGGCAAAAAAGAGAGATGTTAACAGAGCTTCTGATTGATTTTAACAGCATTTTTGAAAGATTTAACTTAGAACATGTATGACTAGCATGTAAATTGGTTTTGCACGCTCTCTGATTAGTTTTGGTAGTGTTCTGGTTTCTGCCAAAGCAAGAGCTGGTTGTACACAGTCAGTCCACAGAAATGTTTAAGAAATCAGGAGTTTGGACTGTGAGTGCACAGGTTGTTCTCAGTGATAAAGACAGTTTTCAAGCTTTGCTCCCTTTGTACCTCTATCCTGGTACATGGTCCTGGTGGTGATAGTGCAGCTGTTTGTGAGTCTACATGGTTAACAGATCAGGGAAATTATGAATTTTTAAAATAAACCTTTTTCTTAGGGTTAATGTAACCCTTGATATCCTAAGAAAAAGGATAATTTTTAACAATAATATCAATACTTGATATTTTTCATCATGCAGCCCCCCCGGCGGTTGTATGAACCATTGTATCAAACCCCAGAATGGGGACAGGGAACTCCTCAAAGAGACTTTGCTGCAGAAAACATAGGATATCGAGACAATCTCTTCCGTCAAGCATTTGAAAAGTAGATTTTTGTTTTTCATGGATTTTCAGTGTAGAAATGTGCGTTATTGTTTCTGTGGAAGCCACTAGAGAGCAGCAGACACTTCAGGAGCGGCCAGTCATAAAGGTAACTGCTAAACTGACATCGAGATGATCGATCAGGTCATTGTGGTAAAGGAGGCAGAACTGGGACACTACTTGCATGATTTTCTTACAGATGCATTCTGTTTGTTTTCTTGGTACACTTGCAGGTAGAGAGTACACGTTTTCAGGCGCAGTTCTGCAGGTTCTTTCTTTTCACTGGTCTCCAAAGTGGTGTCAATTCCATTCACAAGTTTAAGTAAGTGCTTCATCATCATCATCACAAATAACACTTCACCAGTTTGAAAGACGAGGAGCATAAGAACAAATCACTGCTAGTGAAAAACTTTCTCAAATTAGATATTAGTCACTTTTAAAATGCGGGGTAGATTACAATCTGGTGTGTCTCTAAAAATTTTCATAGATATTGCTCACCCTTCAGTGTTCTTGCTGAAAAAAATCTGTCTGAACTGGCCCTTTGATTTTCAGCATCAGCAGAGAGATGAAGCTTAAAGGATGTGGAAATTAAATCTACCCTGGACTATTACAGATTATGTCATATTTCCTCTGTAGACAGATTCAGCCTTTCAGAATGTATTTTTGCACCTTTTAAAATCACTTTCTTCTGTAGGTCTTCAGAGCAGGATCAAAAATATGTATGATAAAGCTAGTTGTTTTCATAGTGAAGATTCCATGTATACCCTAATCAAGCTTTACCATGGCTGGGAGACAGGATTCCTATATTATCCTAAGAACAACATAAAGCTTGCAGTCACAGCATGCATTATTTTCCCACACCGCTCACCCCCTCCTCCTTACTGGGGAGGAAAGGAAGGAGAATGGAGATGACCTTCAGTTATGCTGGGGATAAATGGCAAATAAGAAAAAAACTGTGAGAAAGGGAATTTTAACATTGCCAAGTAAAAAAAGGTACACAAGCTGGGTTTTTTTTCCCCAGACCACAAAGTTCTGGTGGGTGAACTCTTCTGTTGCCCTAATTTTTTAGGGGTTTCCGTGTATTTTCCAAGGAATTTCTACTTTTAGAGGTTCCATGTATTTCTGCTTCCATGGTAGAAGTGTAAATTTGGTTTCCCGGTTTCAGAGTCTCCCTTTGGTCCATTGTTTTGGCCCCTTGAAAATGTGCCTCCAAGTCATAGGAAAGCTCAGTCTTTTAGTTCGTGGGATCCCAGCTTTGCAGCGACTGTGACTGACATACCAAACATATCTGCGTGCTGACAGGTGGGGAGCTGTTCTCCCTCGGGGCAGGGTTGGTGGAGTTCGGGGGGCAGTGAAAACACGCCCGCTGCAGCAGCGAGTCGTTCGGTACTGGTGGGAAGGGCTTCAGTTTTAGCCGGGGGTGCAATTAAGGCTTTGTGTCAATTTAGGATGCAAATTAAGAGAATCAGCTGAAAAGTCTTTTCTCAGAATCCTAACCAGACTGAACAAAATGGTTGGAGCTCTTTGAAGTTTAAAGTTTTAGGTTGCGAGAGGAATTATTAAGTAGATACTTTAAATGCAGCTTTCCTTTCTTGCTGTGATGATCACGTTTTTACATGTGAACTAGCACATATGCTGCTGACTTTTCTTGATATTTAGTGGAAAAAAAACTAGTGGAAAAAAGCTGAATCATATTCATTTATATCAGTCTAAGACCACAAAATGGTTGGGCATCATTTGTTTTTCAGAACCCAAAATTCCCATGTAAACCTGAAGTCGTTTACATTAAATTTTCAAGTTAATATAGCAAAACGTTAGAGCACCAAGTTTACATATGTGAACATAAACAGTAGCAACAATTAGAAGGCCCTTATAATTAATTTTATAATTAGATTTCTACCTTATTAATATATATTCAGTCTTTCATATGTTGACTATCTTTTATATGATATTAACTGTGCTGTATAAAGTGTATGACTCAGTTTTTTGCAAGACACTGATTGAGATCCCTGTCTTCCCCAGATGATGTTTTACCTTGGGTCACCTCTGGGCCTCTGAGGTAGCTTGGTCAGGGACCAGTTTCACAGCAATTTAAGAGGACCAGGATGAACTCTATCAGCACAGTGGTAGCTCCACCCCTCCCATCCCACGTTATTATGATTTTTACTGTAAATGTCCAAGTCAATTTTTGATATAACTGTAGGGGTTTTTTAATATAACAGTAATTTTCTGGAGGAAAAAAACAGTCTCAGTGACTGGTATTAAAGCAGTTTTCAGTCATGAAGCAATCTTCTCAGTGAAAGGGGAACTTCCATGAGGTGTCCAGATGTTGTAAAAAGGGAGGCTGGGGGACCAGTCTGTGGCTCTTTTCTTGTAATGCACAATAAATATATACACAATAAATATATAAATTTCTTCTACTTTAAGTGTTGAGCTCTATTAAAGCAAATCAATTCTTCCTAGCTGCATAACAGAATCTTAGTGAAAATGAATTTTTAACTAAAAACCACTGTTCTAACCTACTCTATGTAAGAGCAAAGTAAAAAGTAATTGATAGGAGACTTCTACAGTTTTAAATAATGGCTTTGATAGAATTACAGAGACTTATTTTTTTCCAATTTGTATTTTAATGAAAAAAAAAAATCAACTGTTTTGGTTTTCTATTTGCCTGTAAATTTTAGTTTAAAAAGTCTTTCTGATAACATTGGACCAGCCTGATGAAAGTGCCAACTCTTTGGAAGAGGCAAACCCAAGGTTTTTCTTGCCTGCAGTCATCAAAAATCCCTGATTCCATATGAGGGAATGTCAATCTGGGTGTCATCAAATTCCATTATAATAATACATTTCCTACCTAAATTCTCCCCTCTAATTTCAGTTAGACAAGGTTTTCTCCAGTTTCTGTGTTAGCATGTCTGTGTTACTGGTTCCCTTCCTCAGGGACTGGCACTTAGTGTGACACAGGCAGGTCCTGTAATCAGTGTGTGCCTTGGAATTGCTTTGTAAAACTTGCTCTTTGCCTGGACAGTAGAAAAAGGCAGTGGGAAGGTGAGATCATGCTGTTGAGAACAGGCAGGACCATGGGAGTAGAGGCTCCTGAGACATCATTTCATATGATAATATTCAGTATTCAGTAGTATGATGGTATGCAGTGTTCCAAACATGACAGAGGGAACAGAAATACTTTGAAAGGCCACAACAGCCCAATGAAGAGCAGCTCATACACAGACACCTGAACTTGCAGGATATTGACTGTCAAAACCTAAAAGTCTGTTCCAGCAAGTTTTGACTAGTGAACTGTCTGGCTATGGCTGGGGAGGAGATAATAAATCAGATCTAGACAGCTCCATATTCTCTGTCCCTACCCGAGGGCCTGCCTGCTGAAAGGAAACGTCAGTTGTGTTACAAAACTGTTGATCCACAATCCTTGGTCAGAACAAAGATCGTGGAACATACTGGTTAAAATTAAAGGAGTTTTGCCACATATCCCTATGATCCACTCTGACTGATCAGTGTTTGATATGAGGGTCACATGAGGGTCTAATCAAAGTTCAAGCTTTTTAATTTTTATTGTTTTCTACGAGTAATGAATTTTCAGCTTTGAATTTTCTGACATTAAGTTTAAGAAAAAAAAGGTTATGGGGAATTTTGGAAAGCAATGTATATTACACTCAGTTATACTGGCTAATACTCTGAGAAGAAAGAGTTTCTTTTTACATAGCAGATAATATGGAAGAATCTCAGAAGATCAGGACCAAATAAATAAACGTAAAGCTAATTAGCATAACAGAAGGCCTGTCTGTGGTACACACACACAGCTGCTCTGTCAGGGTTAAGGCTTTCTGAACCATCAACAGAGGCCACAAGGGTAATTACAAAGTAATTCAGGTCTTACCCATAACAAAGGCCCAAGTATCACACTTGATTGCACTAATCTTATTATATTCAGAAAGATACATAGATGAGTACTGCAGATTGTGAACCTCTCGTTCTGCTGTACTTACCAGTGTTGTCCGGAGAATCTGAAGTCACTTGGAAATTTTTTCCTGTATAACTGGGCTAAAACCTAGAGATGGCTGAAATGGATGCCTGTCGAGCTTCGAGAGCGCTGTTCCCAATGCAGGAGCAGCAGTGCCTTCCTGCCTTGCCTCTGATTGCTGCCCCATCCCGTTTGGATGCCCAGAGGGCTTATCCTCCTGGAAATAGCTCTGGCCTTAGGCTGCTGAAGGAAAAGGTATAGGAGGGGTTTACTATTCTTTGTAAGAAAAGAGGGGAGTAAGAGGGGAAGAAAGGCATCAGTAGTTATGATGCAGTTCTGGTTTAGGAAGCTGAGAGTGAAGCTAGATCTGAGTGACCCCTGAGTTGGTACCTGGATATATGCATATTTTCTTGTTTCCTTTCCTAGTCAGATAAGGGGAATTTGTATTAATCTCTTCTTAAATTTCACTGAGGTTAAAGGAAACTTTAGGTGCAGATTCTCATGTAAAACATATCCCCCCATACAGCCTGCTCAGAATTGCAGTGTAAATACAATACAGTAACATGTTCAGAGTGGCAGGTTTTTTATAGTAGCAAGAGGTTTAGAAAGTCTGAGGGTTGCTTTCTGTGACATTGGGGGTTCACAACATGTTTGACACACAGAAACAAAATAAGAATTTTGGTGGGCTCATTGTGAGAGCTGTTGGTTTGAAGCAGCTGGTGTATTTATGTCCCACTCTTTACCTTCCCAGTCCAAAAAAAAAGGTGCAGTTTTGTTTGTTTGTTTGTATGTTCCAAACATGTAAACAAAAGCCAAGATTTATAAAAGGTTCCATAAAATAGAAGAGTTACTGTCAACTACAAGCAAAATCAACGACTGCTTTTTATTTTCTGTATCTTGATGTTTCAACAGCATCTTTAGAAGAAGCCTAAAGGTTAGGAATCCGAAAGATATGTTACTTTCATTGAAAGGTTATCCATATGAAGCCTTCATTTCGTCTTTTTTTTTATGGCTTGTTTTTTATTTCAGTGTCCAAGTGTGATGGAAGTTCTTCAAGACTGACCCTGAAAGGTACCTGGCTCCCTCACAGAAGAGAGGATGGAAAAATAATCAGATGTTTTCACCACAAAATGGAGAAGTCATCTTTAACTTTCCTCAAAATGTTATCCTCATATGACAACATGTCAAGTCATTTGAGTCTGCTGGATACAATCAGATTTATTGCTACCCTTGAACTCTGAGAGCTCCTAAAAATTATCCTGAGCAGTGTCACATACGAACTAAAACCAGAAATACTGGGTAAACCAGTTACACTGACACGAATGAGCCAGGTGATGAATTCTGGTAATCTCCTACCTCACAAGAGAGCAGCACCAATTGCACATATGAAGATTTTTTTTCTGCATCCTGTAAGTACGAGTTGCAGCTTCATTCCTAATCCAGAATATGATACTCATTAATTACAGTTCTGTTATATTATGGAAGAAAAATATTTCAGCACACGTGTGTGAGCAGCACACACAGCTCCAGGTGTGAGCAGCACACACAGCTCCGTGTGTGAGCAGCACACACAGCTCCAGATGTGAGCAGCACACACAGCTCCAGGGTGGCTCCTGCGGGAACCACCAGAGGCTGCTCGAGAAACGCAGCCCCGCAGCCGCGGCCCGGAGGAGGGGGCTGCGGTCGTGTGGAGACTGAAGAGAAGCGTTAATGGAGCAGTTACCGAAAACACGTGTTCTTCCTGAATGGGACATGGGGAGGTACAAGAATAGGAGTTAAAAAAAAAAAGGGGGGGGGGGTTCTTTTTTGATTTCTAGGTCATTTTATTTGCTGATTAAAAGTGTTAACAGTTGAAGACAAGATCTTGCTGACTGATGCTGTTTCTATTACATGTTGGCCATTCTGCTCGATGAAATTGAGGGGTGGAAAAAAAGAAAAGTTGTGCATAGGAGCAATTTAGAACTCCACCTAAAATATCAAGGGATTTCATCCTTGTCCACCCTTCTGAATAACTGCTTGGGAGAAAAAAAGTGTATGTGTATAAACACTTACATAATTTACATTTTAAAATATATATGTGTATATATAAATACATATGCATGTTGTTGAGGAAAGGGTTCATAACAAATCTGTCCTTTTGTTTCCATAATACACTGGAGTTTCTTGTTTAGTTCTGATGAGAAAGAGAAACTTTCTGTTCACTGGAACTGCTGTCTCTTCAATAGCTCGACCAACAGAATACTGCCTTTTGATCTTTAGTAAGGTCATACAGAGAATCACTGCAGGTATTGTACTAAACCCTGAATCCCTAAACTTCAAAGCATCATCTAGGACCTGACAAATAAGAACAAACCCCATATAGATGTCACGGGTCCTGAAAACCAGAATACACTACATCACAGAAATTAATTGCATGTAGCAGAATCTAGGAACAGAGTCAAAGGGAGGCGAGATCAGAAAGAATCACAGCAAGTGTTGGCTCTGGAATGACCTCCCAAATGGAGCTCACCTGAGTCCTCACTCATTCATTAGTAAATTTGGTATGGTGGAGCTGAAGCATCAGTAGTCAGAAGGTTACTAGTAGCTCAGTGCTGATTCATGTGAGGCATTAAATGTTGCATTGGTTAAGCAACAACAATTGAGAAAGAAGCTGTTTCCCAGAGATTAAGAGGTGATGGGGAAGACTCGATGGCCTGAGGCTGCTTTTGTTCTTAAAAGGTGGGGAGGAGGAGGAAAAAAGCTGCATGGTATTTATTCATGAGCAAAGCTGGTTAACAAATAGGGACAGGATGTTTATAAAAGGACTATTCCTGCCATTAGGAGTCCTTTCTTAACAACCTGAATAATTTCATAGCAAACTAAAATTATACTTAAAAAAAGGCAACCGTTCAAAGTGTATGTCTGTTCATACTGCTATAGGTGTATGTTCAGACCTACCTGAGGACAACACTCAAAATACATGTGCTTGTGCATCTGATATGTTGAAAAGATCTGTCCTTCATACCATCAGGTTTTTGTGATATTCTGGGAAAGAAGTGCTGACATTCTTGTTCAAGATCAATTTCTTTCTCAGGCATTGATGGTATAAAAAAATTAAGCATAGTGCTGTACTATTCTTTTTCTTCAGCTCTTTCCTTCATTTGTGCTCTAGCTACCACTCTCAAAAGATTTGAAAAATGTAAGATTCCAGAAGTAATTTGAAAGACCCTTGGGCTGAAAGAGTTGCTGTGGGTATTTCAAAATCCTGTTAAGTAGCTATGAGTGCGTGACCCATTAACTAATGAAGAATTTGGCTGCTTACTGTTTATTCTTGTTTTATTGTTTTGTCTCCTTCTGTACATGCATCTGAAGTAAATTACTGTTAGGTCTTTAAATCAATATGGTCTATACTAAACTGATTAGGATGTAGGCCATAACACTTTAGTTAAGGAATTTCCTTAAGGAAGTCTGTCCTTACTTTACTCCCATACTAAATTATTTGTTTGAAGGACCCTATAAGGGCATGACATTGTGTTCATTCCTCTTCACAGCAGTACTTGCTAAAGCAGTTTGTAGTTAAAATGGCATTCCTGGCCCCAACCAACTGTCAAAAAGAAAAAAGTTGTGAAAACTGCAACTTTATTTAGCTAAAGGAAAGTTGGGGAGTCAAGGCTTCTGAAAATTCCCTGAAAATTTTACTTGCCAAAACAAGTTCTGAACTCCTGGTCACAAACACAAGCCCAGCTTTTTACAGTGTGTGAGTAATGAGAAAGGGGTTGCATCATGGCTTTGGCCAGTCTTAGGGTTTGCTGAAAGGAGACTCTGCTCTCACTCCTGACTGTAAACCCATCTATTTATGTAGGCTCTGGCAGGAACAGACTCTGTAGAACTAAGTCAGCCTGGCTGCTGATTAAAACATGTTTTACTGGTGGATTAACAAATTGCATTGGCTGAGCTGAAGTCTGACCACAACTGTGGCAGGTACAAAGAGGTGGGATACATGAAGCTGGGAAAAAGAAGTGTGGAGAAACAAGAAGGACCTCCCATTCCTGGCAGTAGGGAGCTGTCAAACCAGCTTAGCTGCACTATTTAACTTCAAAAATTATGTTTGGAAATTTTGCCTGAAAAGCCATGTGTCATATTTAAGATTTTTCTGAACAGAGTTTAAGTTCACAATTCAATTCAGATTTCCAGGTGGTCATGTGAGCCTGTTGTTTGATAACTGTCCAAATCATTGAAGTTTTAGACTTAGGTATCATCTCAGTATTAAGGTTTTTAAAATTTCTCTTGGTACTACAATGCAATTAAATCAAATACAGAGAGATTTTAATACCCTCAGCCAGTTTTGCAGTAATCTCATCATGTCATGCCCACTAAGATGAAAAGTGGCAGAGCAGTGTATCGGCTTCCCATGAATGTCACAGTTTCATACCCCCTAGTGCTGCATGCTCTTAGCAGTGCTGCTGAGGCTGTTGAAGATGCTGTCACACATGACCTGTTGGTCTATACCACGTCTGGAAATGTTTTCCTTACCCTAAGGCCGAATAGATCTTTGAAATGCTTCTGCTAGACCAACTTTTAGAACACAGTTATGTGTTAACTAGTTACAAGTCAGACAAAATATGAAAAATTGTTATGTGTAGGCCACAGGAGAGCTAAGTTGTGAATTGTGTTTTCCTTCTGGATCACAGCTTGACTACCGTGATCTACATCATGGCAAATGTTCCAGCAGAGGATGCTGTTCCTACTCAGCTCTAAGGTTTAGTGTAGTAATGATGAAAGCTAAACTGAGCAAATAAATGGACATTTACCATTTAAGTACAAGATGGAGTGTTTCTATTAACAGATGCTGCAACTGCTGAATGTTCTTATGGACTGTAAATTTTCCTTTTTTAAATGATAATTCAAGTAAAATACTCAGATTTTTTTATTTTCTAACAAATTGAAATATTCTTTTTCTCCTTCTGCCTCATAGAGACAAACTGTACAGCAGTGCAACTGCAAGAGGAGTATGTTTGTCCTTTTGCCCTGGGTGTATCATGCAGTCACTGCCCAAGAACATTTTCAATGGTGACCTAATTCTGGGTGGGCTGTAAAGAAAAATGCCTGTTTAAAAAGGGAAAGGGAAAGAATATCCATGGGCTCTTTGAGGCTTCTATCCATCACCTCTATATTATGAAAGTCTTGTATCAGATTCCCACATGTCATTATTATATGTATATAAACATACATATTTTATATTTAAAATTGGATGTGTTTATTATCCTGTGGTTTTCTTTGTAGTGCAAAAGAAGTGTGAGACTTATTACTGTTTGAACATGCCTACTGTACATTTTAGATACAGCTACTTGTTTTGATATTCTTCTCCAGGGTAAAAAATTCAAATTGGCCCAAAGAACACACAAATCAGGGGGAAAGGGAAAAGTCTAATCATTGAGTAACATTTGACTGTCATCTTCCCAAGACATTAAGGAGAATTATGAGAACTAAGCTGAGGAAAGCAAAGAGAAAGAGAAGGCAAAGGATGTTGTGCAACTGTGAGCAAGATTTATTTTATAACAAACAAAAGCAAGACTAACTTCACATGAAGTTAGTCATATAAGACTGACTTTGTAAATCTGACTGGTGTTTGATCAGCACAGTGGTCCAACCATAAAAGTAGTTGAGGTACAGCTTAACGTTACTTCTGCTATTTCCTGAACAACATACAAGTTAGGATTAATTTTTGGATGAGTACACAGGAGTAACTTCAGTGTGGGCTGTTGCTTCAGTTGCTAGCACTTAGCATTTGATTGGAAGGTGGGGCAGGGGCTGCAGAGCCCTGCTGTGGCTGCCCTGTCATCTTCCAGAGCACCTCATACAACAGACTTGTAGTTCCATGGCCCAACCAGTGCAGCATCTAGAGCATCCTGCACTGATCCCAGAGCCAGTGTGACATCTAGAGCATCCTGCACTGATCCCAGAGCCAGTGTGGACCTTCTGCAGGTTAAATGGCACTTCTGGTCCATTCATATAATTCTACCCTTTAGCCATGGGCAAAAGACACAGTTTTGAAATGTTCAAAATGAAAATGAAGGCAAATATTACAAATGTCCTTAAAACCTGCAATCGCTGCACAGTTACCGTGGTGGAATGAAATGCACCTGAATGGTGCAAAGGAGCTGGATCCATGGAATATAACACTAGCACTGCATTCTTTATTTGGAATGGATCCAGAGTCCAGGAAGTACAATATAGCTAATTGATATAAAAATAATGGCAATAAAGGTTTTGCTTTAACTTTTAACAGGAATTCACCCATGCTCTATTCAGGATTAGTAAATGAGTTTTTCAAGGCCCACTGGAGTCTTTTATTTGCTGACTTTTATTGAGTTTAGTTAGCAGGAAGCAGTAGTTAAATTTGAATACAAGAAGTTAACTCTGTGATGGATGTTGCATTCACAACTGACATCTGTCATGTCCCAATGAAACCTCTTGAGAAACTGTGTGAATGCTAAGAAATACAAGAGCTTTTGCAGGAGTGTGGTTTACATCACATTTGGAATCTTTGCATGCCCTAAGAAAAATGCAGTCATGATCCAGCCTCGGTCTAAAGCTGCCATTGGAGTTGATTTGAAATACACAGGATTGTTTTCTGTGTTCTTAATCAATCATAGCATATCCTCATCCCCTTCCAAAGGCTCTGTTGAGATGTCTTTTGAATTGTGGCTAAAATACAATTTAATGCTATTTTCAAGTGTGAGCAGATATCCTGAGTTTCTGAATCCTCACAGAGAATTCTGCCAGCCATGCCTTTTCTTGTATCAAGAATATCAGGCTGAGACACGTGGACTGCAACTGTGGCCATATGGTGGCATGTGTAGGAAGGAGGAAGGAGTAATGGGGAAAAATTCCTTCCACAGAGGAAGGAGTAATGAGGAAAAAAAAGAGAAGTGACTCTACACCCCTCCTGTGCAGTACTTGTTCTTCATAACAAACATTTGAAAAAAAATTGCTTTCAGTCAAGCAGTTCAGAAGTAGTTCTTGCTGTTCTGACATGAACTTCATTTTATTAGGTTTTTAAGGTGTAGCCTTATGCAGAGTACGTGACAGCAGCATTATCCAGATGAAAAGCAGTTATTAAGAGCTACACAATGAGCAACAGTTGCATAGGTATAGTAACTTCAGAGAGAAGCTGCTTAAACATGAAGGCACTGCTGGGAGGGGTGGAGGAAAGGCATCCTAAAGAATCATTTCTGTGGAAGGAGCATGTCTCTCCTAGGCAGTCGTTTCCCAAAAAGGTTGTGTGTACTGCTGGTAGAAAAGGGAGCGAGTCACATTCAAATCAAATGTGAAATGAAGTGTACCATGGCCTTACAGCAGATGTGAATTCACACTATCAAGGCAGTTTTTCTTTGAAGTGTCCTTTCCTTTTGCTGGGGGCAGGGGGAGACAGTAGTAAGTGTTGTGAATTATGTGTGAAATATGTATTTGATTTATGCTTGTAATACTAGTGTGGGAAACTTGTGATCTCTACAGACATTTGATCATTCTGTGTTGCTACATACTCAGCTAATATTCTGCATTTTCAGATACTTGAAAGAAAGCATAGAAAAATAGAAACTAAAGGAAGATTATAGAAGTCAGAGATGCTAAAAAGGAACAGATCAAGTATCTCCCTTTGGCCCAAACTTGAAAACTCTGAGGGAACAGAAAGGTGAGGAATGAAAAAGAATGTATAACAAAGGAGTTATGTATATGTGCATGTAGATATACATGCATATTTGTCTATAATATGGGATCGGGTCTTTTGATGAGCTTACTATTCAAACATTAACTTTACCTTGTTTTAAATAAGATGGATTTTTATCTAGGGAACAGGTTGGGAAACTGAACCTTTGGATTTTGATTCTTTGAAATCTGATGTCGAATTCACTGAAGCAGTTCAAGCAGTACACGTCTTTATCCTCTAAAGGGCTAAAGAAATTAAACAAATAGATCCTTGACTTCTGATTTTTCCTTCATGTGTAAACAATGCTCTTGAAATTACTGTGTTTTGTCTCATTTAAGGACAGTGGATCCAATAAACTCTTCGATGCATCATCCCCATACTAATCTTTCTTGATACATTACAATATCTTGATACATACATTTTCTTGTTTCATATTAAAAATGAAGGTAGCAACCGTGACTTTATGAGTTTAGGAGCATTCCAATACATATCCTTTATTTCAGTATTCCTAAGGCCTTGCACAAACCATCATGCCCAATGCCAAGCCAAGTTCCCTGTTAAAATGTGATTCATGTTTTTTTGTCATCTAGCCTTTATTGTATTGTGGAAAGGCAAACAAAGACTGAAAAGCACATTTTATATTAAATAGCAGTACTTGACAATGAATATTTGTTGGCCAAGAACCAGAAACTGTGGACCTGACTTGCAGAACTGTTGCCTTAATTATCCCTTTTCCTGAAAGGGACTTAACACTTCATGTCAGTTGTCATACACTATTTTTTTTCAGCTGAGACTGTGTAATCCTGCCTGCTTAATCCACATATGCCCATTCCTTAGGATTTTTTTTTAAGAAAGGGATGTTTTCTGTTCTACAGGAGAGAAAAAACCATGTCTATCTTATGGAGCTTATTGTCCACACAACAATGAAGAAGTTACTGTATGACTCTGAGGGAGTGTATACAGTGGTTTTGTAAATCCCTCTGAGCCTAGTCTTGAGTAAGGCAACTAATCCCAGCAGAAGGGTATTGCCTCATGAGAAATCTCTGCAGAGCTGTGGAATACATTCCTCCACCCCAGTTGCCCAGGCTGTTTGTGTACTGGGGCTTTGGTTACTGCTGTAGATAGACTGTGCAAACTGATGAAAGGGGGGTATCTTACACCCACTAGTTTTGTTTCATTATGTATTTGCTCACAACCTCCTTCTCTGCCCCCCAGTAATACACTGTCACTGCTATGGAGACTGCTGGTCCTTAGAAGCAATGAAGAGGCATCCTCAAAGGTATTTGTTGTCTCCTGTACTTCTTTTAGGCCTGTGCAACCAAGTTGTAATTCTTGACGTGTATCCCTTCCCACTGCCTTTGAGTCCACATCATTCTAATGTGTACTGCAGGATTCCTTCTCAGAAAAGCAAAACTAACAGTAGAGTAACTGATTCCAAATTTTTAACTTTCTATAGTTACCTGTAAATATTTTCCTCTTTATAGAATTTCTGAAGGAAACTTATACAAAAATGCTATTAATTTTCTTTCTTTTCTTTTAATTGCTGTGATTACAAAACACTTTCATGCCCATGAGCTGGAGGATTCTGAATAAGTTCCAACAGAATACAATTACTCACTCCTACTCCACCTCACTGCTGTGCTAGTAACCATATCTTATTAATCAGCCTTACTGTCCACTCAAGCCTTAGAAGCTACTGTCATTTGTAGTATGTCACAAAACCTGTAAGAAATACTTAGTGGTAACCTGAAGTCCCATTTGCAGTATGCAGTGACAATAAATCAAAAGATAGTTTTATATCTTGAATCAGAGAGAAGGGTAAAAGGGGAAATCTGTGATACTGTGGGAATGATGGTCCCTGGTACTAATGTTAGGTGTGCATTAGGCATTTTTAGGCAGCTGAAGTTTCAGCAATGAGTTCTGTGCTTTGTGTTTTCTTATAGTACTGAATGTGTGTGTGTGATTAAAAATTGTTTCTTTAAGCATACTGTAGTAAAAAACCCAAGCAACAAACACAACTCCCTGAGATTTATGCAAATACTGATCACCATTGGGACTGAGAAATCTTTTGATATAGTAATTTAAATTACAGATGAAGCAGAAAAAGGAGGGTACAAGTGATCTAACAATTATACCATGATGCTGCCTCAGAGCACTGAGAAGGTTGTTTACATATTTTACAAATAATGAAACCTTATCCTCTCTGCTGGAGCTACCAGTCAGCCTACAGCAAACATATCAGCCCTGAGGGATTTGAGAGGAACCCACCAATTCATTTTCTTCTAGTCACAAAGCACCACCAATGGAAGCGCTGGATCCAAAGGGATGAAAGGGTAGGAAAGGTATTATCAGCCTCCTAAGCATGGAACACTTTTGAAAGATGCCTCTCTGGTAAACACTTCCCCAAGACCTTGTGTGAACTATTTACCAAGAGCACAAAGGCAGGTGACGTGCATTGGCTTTGCCAGCCAGCCAAGATCTTAAGATGTAGATGTTTGGGTTTTTTAACCTCCAGTTATCTCTCTGGAGTATAGGAGACTGCTTTTAAGGCTACACTGAGCAGGAAGTGCTGAGTATGTTCCTAAAGGTGTGGCTTAGCTCCCCAGCAATTCCCTGGTAGCAGGGGCGTGGTAAACTAGCCTTAAGTAAAACAAGCAGGCTTTGTGGAAATCAAAAGCTGAGAATGCAAGCTGTTCACATCTCTTTGATTAAAGCAGCTAATCTTTGATTGAAGGTGGTGGGCTCCACCTTGTTCCCCTAAACCAAACAGGTTCACAAGGTTTGGATTTATAAGTCTCATGCTTTTGATACCAATGCAAAATAGAAAATGTTTTTAAAGGTAACTTTTGTAGGACGTGTTGTGAGAAAAAGAGACATTTACACATTAATGTATTACAAATATAGTATTAAATAAGAAGAAAAACGCTGTATCATTTCTTTAAAATCACATTACCCTGTACAGAATGGCTCATTTTACACTGAGAGATACAGAGCAGAACCCATAATCCTGAAAATCTCCACCCTTTATTATTGAGTCCTTTTGCCTTGTCTTTCCCAGGGGAAGTTATGTGTTCTTGCCAGAAGCTGACAGGAAAAGTTCTACTCTTGCACAAGGCAAAGCAGATTGCTGGTACTTTGATCTAACTGGGAAGCATTTAATTTATAGACAGTATTCCCTTCTCCAGCAATCTACACGGCAAAAGGCTACTATAGATATACTCTCTGACAGGGATTCCTGCATAGATAGGCAGTAATCTGGCGTTTTTAAGAGACAGAAAGATCTGATCTCACATCTTAGGTTTTATGTCTGTACAAAGTCGGTGTAAAATGCTGACTCATCAGTGATCGCAGCCTGATTGCCCTCAGTGACAGCTGCAGGAGTTGGGCAGTAGCTGTGCCCCAAAGCCATGGATCCACCAGACTGTGAGACAGAAGTGCCCCTCTTGTTGGCCCATGAGTCACTGTCTTGCTTTGCCAGGATAACTCTTTGTGGAACCAACCACTGAACCAAATGAGGGAATGAGTCCACCTTAAGGAATACATCAAAATATCAAATACTGATTCAGAGTGGAACCCCACAAATAGTAGTGCTGAAGAATCAGAGGGTCCAATAAGCCAAAGGTGGGATGAGAATGAGTAGCTAAAGTTGGATGAACAAGGAATGCCTGAAATTTATATTTATGTCAAACACAGTTCATTATGAAACCTACAGCTTTAGAACACAGTTTGTCATATGTGGCAGCCTCAACCAACTTCTAACTATTCCCATTTCCTCAGTGGGGATATGTTTGCTTATAGTGAATACTAGGATTTTATTTATCTGAAAAATAATGAGGGAGTAGATTGGACTCCTCAGACTCCCTGCTCACACAAAGCAAAGCACTAGAGTATGGAAAGGAGGAGTTAAAGTTATGTCCCAGACAACTACTTCATCCAGAGCTTTATCAGTACACTCACTTTAGTCACTGGTGGACACTCCCAGAATGTGCCAGGCCACTTTCTCTTGTGTCTGCCCCAGGGCTCTTTTTCTTTTCCTCACCACCATATCTTTGAACCTAGAAAAGGCAAAATCTTACTATGTTAAGGATGTCACAGTGTGGTTGAAATAATTACTTGAGGAAAACAAGGAATGACTGAACACAAGGTGACATTTCCTGTCAAACAAGGGTGTGCCACATGAGCAGAGGGTTGTGGAAAGGGGGTGAGGTAGTACTGGCACTTATGAAACAGCTCTGTCACTGTATATTATCACAACTCCAACTTATTAGGAAGGGAATTGCACCTGCTTGCCATGTGCTTAGTTATTATCTCTGTTTATAAAGCGACTCTGCAGCTATTAAGTGATAAATGCACTGAGTGAATCATATGGCATCTTAAATTTAAAATTTCTGCAGTATGCCAAAGGGAATAATCTGTCTTCTTTCTGTCTGAATACAGTTACTGACTGTACAGTATGTTTCTTTGAGAATGTTTCTTCTCAAGAACCTGTATGGCTCTCTTGTGTCAGCCAGGTGTGTCTGTAAGGACACTGCTTCTGTCTTCCTTCCACTGTACACTCCACAGCATATGAGGTGAACATCAGGCAAAAGGGAGAAAGATCTTTGGTCAAGCATGCTCAGAGCTTAAAGTGAGGAGAGGATTTGTTGAATGGAACAAGGGAATATATCTGAGTGAGAATCTGATGATTCTACTGGTGTGACTGTAACTGTAAAATACAGTTCAGTGTAAACTCGAGTCTTGCATGCAAGCAATTACATGTAGAGGTGCTCTAGAAAAAAAATGAGATATCTTTGCAAAAACTGTAGTTGTCTTGTCAAGCTACAAATGGCAGAGTAGAAAATAAACTCATCTAATCTTCCTAGATATGGGCATAATAGTTCTTCTAGAGTCTGGTAGTAACAAGTCAGACAAGACTTTTGAAAGACCATGTACTTTCAAGAAAAAGACAGTGAAAAGAGAAATACAAAGAAAAGTTGTATCAGAGGCCTGCTTCTTTGAGGAGATTATTCCATCCTTTTAATGGGACAGAATAGGACCCAGAGTGTGTTTGAAATTCCCCTGTCAGATCCCAGGGATGTAACAGTTGGTGGTGGAAGTGAAGTGGAGCAAAATAAACATAATCAAGATGGAAGATCAGGAAATCATTGAATGATAGGTCCTGTCATGTCTATTTTGGATGCACATAATTGCATTCATCAATTTATTATACAATACTCTGATGAAATGTTTTTAAAATTAAGTACTTCAACAGGTGTTTAGGTTTTGCTTAAATTTTGCATTTATATTTTACTTCTGTTTATCCTGTGGTGAGAAAAAGATGTGTATTAGCATATCTGTATGTACAATAAGTTTAATTAAATCCTAATGAAGAAACAGGTTAAATGTCAGAGCAGCTAAATCAAATGGGAATGAAATATTATAGGAACACACCCTCCTTTTTTATGAAGGTTTTATGTGTCAGCTGAGAGCTTGTGGTACAATCTGAATAAATAGCCAGAGATTCATAATTTCTGCCCAGATAATGTCATGAGGTCAATTGTCAGTTAAGCTTGAGAAAATGTAATGTGCATAAATTCATCATTAATTGTGTAATTTATATAGTTGTTTTCCATGGAGTAATTTGGACTTCCAGTATACAGTCCTGTGTATTTGCTTGCTGATCCATTCTTTCATCATTGCTGTATTGCAGCATTGATACCAACTCTCAGTAAATGAGAGTGATGTAGAGCCTGCAGATCCTTTGATGTAGATAATGGCATTTACATTTTTCATGTTGTCTGTTTTCCTGTTTCCATGCAAGGTGACTGGAGTTGGATGTCCAGTGTTCCAGATGGCTGTAGCTGTCTCACTGTAAAACATCAGTGATTTTGTGTTTCAGTGAACTTCTGAGAAGTTTCTAGCTGTGCAGTGGGAGTGCATTTCTGGGTGGGAATACAATGGGCTGAATATCATCGAGCCACTGAAGGAGGATATGAAGGAGTAGTGCAAAAATCCTTTTCTAAACAGTTAAAGGACTACTGAGTTACCTGTCCTGCTACTCCTGTGACTGGAAGTCTCTAAGTTGATCTGTTAAATATAAAGTATAAAATGGCCCAAATTACATGCTTCATGTAGACATCAGATCATTCTCATTTTTCATTATGATGAGTTAACCTCTTGATCTTTTCACAAGAGGATATAATTTTATCCTGTTGAACTTCAAACACGTGAAATAATTTTAAATCTCATTGCTTACGAAGTAAGAAGATGATGCTACTTAATTGTATGTAAATACTA